AATTTTTTTTTTTTATACATTTATAATTAGATATATAGATGTATATATATATTTCAGAGAAAACCCATCTAAATTACAAATAGATAATCAAGTAAAGCATATGTTTATATAATATATATAAATATATAATAATGATATAAGAATATTATATATATTGCAAAAAGAAAATTAACATAAGGTAGAATGGAAAATTAAGTAAAATATCAAGCTTAATTAGTTGTTTTTTTTTTCATAATATCTTTCAATAATTTTTTTTTTTGAAAAAATAAAATATTTTTCAAACTTAAGAGGGAAAAAATTAAAATTTTAATTAAAACTTCATTTTTTTCATTTGGATTAAGAGCCATTATAAATTCGTGTCTATATAATCACAAATAATATACATTTATAAGGGGAAAAAAAATATAGTTAATTGGTAACCCTACCAAATGTTGCATCGGTTGTGCCTGGAATGTTGGTCACCATCCTGTGATTGACAAAAGGAAATTATGTATGATCGGTAAATTTTACCTTTACCGAAAATATACACACACATTTATATGCATACACACACACACACACATATATATACAAGTATCTGGACAACCCAAGTCTGTTTCTTTGGATTCAGCCTGGAGTACATCATACAGTAGGTCGATCGTTAACATATATATATATATATGTGTGTGTGTCTGTCTACATGAAATCATCTAGGGTTACTATCAGATCAGATATAATGCCTGTAAGATATATTACCGTACTTGTGAAACCAGTAAAATTATACTCTTATACATATATATAGTTGTAGGGCGTACCAGTGCAGGTGCTCTCTTAGATAAGGATCACTAGGTCCAGGAACATCTGGATCTGTCATAACCTGCCAGGAAAAACATATATGTAAGTATAGAGAGAGAGCTCCATTATATGTCAGTGGCGAAAGATACACACATGTATAAATTAACCCAGAAACAGAAACATAAAGAAACGTAACTTGTGAAATTAGTACGTATATATATATATATATATATAGATACATATTTATACCAGTGTGAAGAAGGATCTCATGTCACCTCCGTGAATCTCAACCCTAGGTTTGAAACCAAGTGTGGAAGGGAAGATTTCATGGCCATTAGAGACATGCTTGTTGCTGTTGTAAGTTACAGAGATTTTAATGGTGGGACTGAAAGAATCCAGAACGTCTCCCACAACTCTTCCCACAATCAGAGGCTCTGCAACTCTCATAATTCCCTTTTCCATTTCTCTTTCTTCTTCTTCTTAGAAGTAGGAAAAAAAGATAGAAAAGAGGGAAAGAAGACAAAAGAGAAGAAGAAGAGGAAGAAGAAGAATAACTCTTTGTTTTCGGTAATATGTCATTACAAGGGAATGTCTACCTATATTTAT